TTTACTTAAACCCAAGTCCCATGCTCCACTTTCCCCCAGTTATGATAAGAAGGCCCACCAGGCCCTTATCCATGATTATTCCTTTTCCCCATCTCAAAATGGTTGCGCTTTCCCTGTGGAATCCGGAACCAACAAGCATAGCTCCAAAAACATTTTAAATATTATCTCAAATATGCTGATGGCGGTGTTATCCAACCCTGCCCAAGTTGTACCTGACCACGTTGCACAAAGATTAGCTACAATTTTAGAATACATCTATAAAATTCCTTCCGCTCACTCTCCTTCAGTGGAACGTGAGGAGTACTCTTCCCAGGAAAAGTGACTTACTCCACCTAATTAATAAGTATTACCCACAAATTTGTGGCATTGCTGAGACTTGGCTCCTACCGAATATTAATTTCAGGATCCCAGGTTTCAGTGTTGTCAGACAGGACAGATCTGATGGTTATGGAGGTTGTGCTTTGTTAGTTAGTAACAAAGTACCCTTCTCCCAGATCCCTCTACCCTTCGTTGGCGATGACATAAATGTTGTCGCTGTTAAGGCTGAGGACATAAACATTTTTATTTTTTATATTGCCCACCCCCAGAGTAGTCGTATCATTTCCATTAAAAACTTATTAAGTTCAGTAAGTGGTCCATTACTTGTAATGGGCGACTTTAACTGCCATCACTTTCGATGGGGGTCTGAAATATGCGACAGCATAGGTCATGACCTAGTAGACATGCTGGATGACCTCGACTTATGCGTCATTAATGATGGCAGCCCCACCCGTAGATCTGCATTTGGTCAAAGAAACAGTTGTGTGGACTTGACTTTCTGCTCATCTGGTGTGGCTAGTGTGCTGAATTGGAGTTGTTTGGATGGTAGTGATCACTATCCCATTATTATTAAGAACCCGTCCAAATCCATCCCTGATAAATCTCTCCCTCCCTTATTAAAATATTGGCTAAACTCAGCTGATTGGGATCAATATTCCAAACTATTAGATCTGCGCATTTCTGCATTACCTTCCGTTAACGCTGAAAACGCTTTGGAGTGTTTCTCCCAATTTTCTGACGTAATAGCTTCTACAGCTAAGGACTGCTTTCCGGAGAAAACCACTCCAAAAGGAAAAATCCCCTCCCCTCCTTGGTGGGATAGTGAATGCACTGCTATGATAAGATCTAGGAATGAGGCTGAAAAGACATATAACCACAATATGAACCTGGAGAATCTCCTAACCTTCAAGCAGATATTGGCTAAGTCAAGGAAGCTGTTTAAAAGGAAGAAGAAACAGGGATGGCGGAGTTTCTGTAGTTCTTTGAGCCCATCCACTCCGGTGGCAACGGTTTGGCAGAGGGTGAGGAGCTTTAGGAACTCCTCTAAACCTCCTTCAGTCTACATCTTACCTGATGGCCTTAGCCATAAGTTCTTTACCAACATTGCTCCTATTTATGTTCCCTGTGAAGATGAATGTTGTTGGGGACTGTGTGAAGACTCACATGACCCCCTCGACATGAAGTTCACAGTGGAAGAGCTGCAAACGGTGCTGAATCACGTGAAAGATTCTGCACCAGGTATTGACGGGTTTCCTTACTCCTTCCTCGCAAAAGCAGGAGTCAAAACTAAACAATACTACCTTGACTTGGTCAATTTTTGTTTTATTTTCGGCTATATTCCTCCATCCTGGAAGGTTCAGGTTGTTATGCCGCTGTTAAAAGCTGGTAAAGATTCTGGTGATCATTCGTCCTACCGACTTATTGCGCTATCGTCCATCCTTATTAAAATCCTAGAACACCTCATAAAGAATCGATTAGAATGGTTAGTGCAAAGCCAGGGACTGCTGCCGACGACTCAATTTGGCTTTAGAAAGGGCTTGGGTACGGCCGATAGTGTGGGCATCCTCACATCGGCCATCCGACTGGCCCTTGGTTGCGGTCTTCTTGGATGTCTCAGCTGCTTATGACTCGGTTCTCCTACCCTTTCTCAGGCAAAAATTGCAAAAGCTGAGAATTCCGAGTAGGATTTGCCAGATTATAAGCCATATCCTGTCCAACCGTACCCTCCAATTAAGGACTCCTGAGGATAGTCCAGTACAGAGAACTGCCTGGAGGGGATTACCCCAGGGGTCAGTCCTTAGTCCTATCCTCTTCAATATTTACACTCATGACCTTCCTTCCTGTTTAAATTATGATTGCAATATCCTACAATACGCTAACGATATCGCACTAATGATCACCAACAGCTCTATAACGGACGCCGCCCGCTCCATGAATGTCTCTTTGTCCTCATTAAACCAGTGGCTACTTAATCATGGGTTATGTTTAAGCGCCCCAAAAAGCTCGGCTGTAATTTTTACGCGTAGACGACGGTATCCAGATATCCGCATAGAAATAGACGGTCAGGCAATTCCGATCAGCAACAAGGCTAGATTTCTAGGTGTGATTCTCGACTGTAGGATGTCGGGGTTGGATCACGTAGACGCCGTTGTCACAAGGTGTGAACGGTCAATAGCTGTACTCAGAGCACTGGCTGGAGTATGGTGGGGTGCCAACCCCTATACATTAAAGCTCATATATAATGCATTGGTCAGAAGCGTAATGGATTATTGCTGCTTCCTTATGGCACCTTGCAATAAGGAAGCATTTAAAAAACTTGATTCCATTCAGGCCAAATGCCTTAGAATAATTATTGGAGCTATGAAGTCGTCTCCTATAAATGCTCTACAGGTCGAATGTGCAGAGCCTCCCCTCGACCTTCGGAGACAATACCTAGCAGACCGTTTCGTTTCGAAAGTTCTTTCCCTTTCATCGCATCCCCTACTCCCGATCCTGGACCAGATACACTGCTCCTATAATTCCTCTCCGTACTGGAACAATAAACCTGTCCCTCCTGTGATTGTTAGGTACAGAGAACTTAAAAACCTCTCTGCACCCATCAGTCAATACCCTGTACTCCCGGTCTTTTCTTCCACATATGATGTTATCCACTTCAGGCCAAGCGTTGTCCTAGAACTAGGCATTGCAAAAGCATCAGTGAACGCTAATAAGAAATTTAAACGCGCTCTGAACAATTTCTGGAGTGGCTGGAATCTTTTCTACACTGATGCTTCTAAACTGACTCCTGAAGGATGCACAGGAGTAGCAGCATATTATCAGAACTCAAGGATTGCTTTGTTAGCCAAATATCCCTCTGAGGCTTCTGTGTTTACTGGTGAATGTGCTGCTATTCTGGAGTCCATAAAATTTATCAAAGCTCACAATTTGAAAAATTCCGTCATCTTCTCGGATTCTAGAAGCAGTCTTCAAGCTCTGGGCCAGGACCAACTCCACTCCAGAATCTATAGCAGTTTAATTATAGAAATAAAAGCTTTACTTTTTGCGTGTCATGAAGATGGCTTAAAAATAGAAATCGCTTGGATCCCTGGTCACTCTGGCATATGTGGTAATGAATGTTGTGTGTGTATCATGTGTTGTCCTTTCAGCTACTAACAACAAACTACCACAAAGTTAAAATTCGACGGGCCCTTAACCTGCCGTCACTACTTGACACTGGCAGTATAGTCGACAACATCAAATTGGAGACTCGGTTGCCATTGAAGAAGAAAAAAAAAAAAAAGAAAATTCTGACTATAGTTTCAGTTTCAGTCAAAAGCCTTCGAAAGATTATAGAATATTCCGATGGAATTCTCATCTTTTTTCCACGAGGCGAAAGCCGAATAAAATTGTGCTATGGCGTCAATAGTGCATATATCGTTGGTCAACCTGTCTTTTCATGAAAGAATTCATGAAGTGACACAGCATCTGAGTATGCATCAACCATCAAGTGAGGCATACAAAACTAATTGTTATGCAGTAAAATAATATTTTCAAGATTGAACCCCGCCGTGACTTGTAATTGGTAATCTCAGAATACAGAACAAACCAGAAGTCGTCATCGCGCTTCAAACTTAAGCAACTAAAACCACTCTTAACTAGAGTAGTATGAAATTTCTACGATTAGTCAATTTTGGCACGTGGCATGTCATGACGTATTTACGAGTACCAATTTTAATTTCATTATGTCGTCTTGTGTTATTCCTACGAGTAAATATGCGGCTGGAATTACTAAAAAAGTGGATAAGATTACATTTCATCTGCAAGCATCGACTGCAATAGTATATTTTATTAGGTAATTAATGAAATTTTTTTACAATTTATTTTTCTATGAAAATTTTGCGGCCATTTTGTGAGTGTTGTCATTTTTTGTGAAAATTTTACCCACTTATTTATTTGTTGTGAGTTATATTTTGTCCTTTATGGAGCCTATGTCATAAGAGTTTCCCTGCCGACTAACAAAAAATAAAATAAAAATATTACAAAGGGCACGGTTAGATTAATTTTGGAAACCATCTAGCCAGAGCATAGTTTGCTCAATTCACTTTGAAGAGATATATGTATTTATGACAAAGGTGGTTTGAAAACAACATTTCCTACTAAGATATATCTATACTAATTATAATGCTGAAGAGTTTGTTTGTTTGTTTGCTTGAATGCGCTAATTTCAGGAACTAAGTAAAGTAAGTAGACTTCTAATCTTTAGTTCCGAGTCTAAAGACAATACATATTATGAAAAACTAAACCAGCAAAAGGAAACGCAATAAAACCTTCGCACTTATTGTAGCTTTGTTTTATTTGTTGTGTATAGTAGGTGTAGCTAAAATTAACATTAACATTTATAGTAAGTTTATCTATTTTTGTTGGGTTTACCCAACAAAATATATCTTACCCTCTTGTTGTAAAATTATCCCAAACCAAGGGAATTGTCTCACTGTCAGCAACACTACGCGGGTGGGAAGTGCCGCTGGCGGGGGGATTGACGTATTGTTTTTGGACACATTTGACGACATGTAATTATGAGTGAACGCGGATTCTGGTTTGTTCTGTATTCTGTGTTGGTAATGTATCTATTAATAGTTGACATAAGTGTAAAGCCTCAAGATACATTGACACATGACACATGAAAACTATTCACTACATACCTGATGTACATGCAACTCTTCTAAATTCGAAGCTAGTTCATCTTCCAAGTTATCAGCACTAACTTTCTCAACACTATCACAGAGTGTCTTATATTCACACTCACAGGGACCACTTCTCGTCCAACGGAATGTTAGAGAGATACGCGTTTCTCTTAATGTAGTGTCACTTGTTATCACTTTAATTTTATGTGAGTTTTCAAGGCGATTCTCAATGACTGGATCCCAAGTGCGAGGTTGGATGCCATGCTGCCAGTCGTATCTTTGGGAGAGATGAAAATAGCTTATGAATACTGAGTTAATTGCTCATTGATAGAGGGGTTCGCAAGTGTTACTGACAAGAATACTTTGTTCTGTTTGTGTCTAATTTACAGATGGGTTGATATTGGGATTATTCGGGTTTAGGAATCTGGAACAGTCTTGTGTATGGTAATAGCATCACCCACTATTAAAGGGGAAGTAAACAGTGAAAAAATTAATTCTCTAAAGATACATGCCTCCGCCTAGCTTACCCTGTCAATTTAATGCCATCCATGGTATGGATCAAATAAATAATCGCCTTGGTAGTCATTGATAAAGCATTACAGTTAAGAAACAGTGAATTTTAATATGAAAGCATGAAATAAATGCAGAATGATTACCTAATGATACCTGATTGAAATTATGGATGTGATAATACATTTTGATGAAGACAAAAAGAAATGGCTTCATAATAAATCATGCTACAATCTAACTAATCACCTGGCCTCATCTTGCATAACAAGAAGAGATCTTGCCTGTACTAAGGTTGGTACATATTTGCCGCTGTGATGTTTCCAGTCCATTACCACATCAGAACCAAGTGAAAGAGACAATATGGCACCTCCAAATGGACTGTGCTTATCCACATGAGATGGAATACCTAGAAATAATAACAGAACAAAGATTAATCTGTCAAAGTTTCTACTGAATTCATCCAGATTTTGAAATAGAATTTGTCACTTTTATCTAGATTTTTATTCACAATGTTAAAGTGTAAAAATGCTGTTTTATAACAAGAGCTGTCTATTTAGAACAATCAATTCATTTTCATTGTTAAAATTGTAAGACCTGGTTAACACACAATTTGCGTGAAAGAACTTTAATGGGAGTGCATACACAGTTTTTTAAAACAAATTTCTGTACTATAACTGGAGCTAATTACAAAGAGTACAAATATGTATTTTAGTAGTTATTATTTTAGATTGAATTAAAATATTTTTATCTAAAAACCTGACAAAATTATGGGTTTACACAAATTACTTCATACCTTGTCCAGGAGAATATTTATTTACTGTTAGTTGATCTGGCACACCAACATTAAATCCTTTTTCTTCCAACCTCTTCCATAAAATATTGCATTCCTTAGGAATTTTATCTATCAGTGGACTATTTAGGTCCACATCGTTACTGCCATATCTAAATTCATAGCCATAATGTTTCACTAGTCTATTTTTCAAATTATTGGATTCTGGGTTCCAGTCAAAAAGTTTTATGAAAGCATTTTCTTCTTCTTGTGTAATGAAATCATTAAGTAATAATAGGCCTTTGGGATTTTCATGTCTGCATATAATTTCTGTATTGGGAACTGGAAAATTTAAAACATAATCATAAGGATCTAATTGTTTGAATTTTGAATACTGTTTATCTAAACTGATAGTTTGAAACTTAATGTTTTAAGTTATTACAATAATTTATATTCAAATAAATATCACCTGTTTCAACAAAGTTCATATAAAGTGGAGTTCCCTTATTATCTGCCTTGGCCTTCCCATTGAAAGTATTATAAAATAACAAAGCATCCTCCTTTGTATCAAACACTAAAAAGGAATGGCTTTCTCCTTTTTCTGCGATATATTTAGGTAAAGTTATACTTAAACCATGTTCCTTAATTAAACTAAATACATATACTTTTTCTAGGCCCGTTGCTTGCCCGCCGTTGCATAGCACTATATTCTGGAAATTAGTTTATATATTAATAATCAATATGCCATCAAATAGCGCATAAAACATTAAAATATGTGTCATACCGGTCCATGCACTTCAGTGCAAGTTATTCCTTTAGAACTCTTTAATCGAGCTGCGAACCTTTTTCTTTTGCGTTCAGTTTTTTTTTCTTCGTCCATAATTTATGATAATATGATACATATAATGATTACATATACAAAGTAAAAATATCAGCGACTATTTACAAATTAAAACCAACCACATGTCTTTGACATACGCATTGACAGTTTGACAGTAACCACTTTTTACGTCAGACATTCCAATGAGATTTTCGTTCTAAATCTGATATTGAAATTTTATTCCAGCATCTGGGGAAACTTTATAAAATGCACATTCTGTGAAATATTTAAAATAATACAGCAAAACAGCTTTACTGCAAAAAGATCATGGCGATGTTTTTTTTTAATTTAATATTGTTTCCTATTTACTATAATAGATTTGATATTGTTAGAAAAAAACTTTTTTCTTTGTGATCTGTCAAAGTCAGGATGTTTTTCGTCAGTGCCAAAAAACAATGAACTTCTTACTAACTTCGTGTGCAACTTTGCAATGTCAAAAGTCAATTATTTTAGCGTAAAAGTGTTCTGTGGTTTGGGTTTGGTTGCTTTTAAAAGGATTCGCTCGTTTTAGGAGCGGTATTTGAAATCTGTAAGCTGTAATTATCTTGAAGCTTTTCATTTCCATCATGGGAACCCAAAAAAAGGTAATAGCTATATTATATTTTATGTAAAACGTATTAAATATTACATATATTAAATATAACGTGTTACATATAATTAATTCATCTAAACTTTAACATAATAATATGTTTTAGGAGATCCGGAAAAAGAACAAGAAACACGTAATTTGTATGGCATCGGACTTCTTTTATCCTAACACAGGAGGAGTAGAAGAGCATATTTATAATTTATCACAATGTCTAATCAAAAGAGGTCATAAAGTAGTCATAATTACCCATTCTTATGGAAAACGAGTAGGAATAAGGTATTTAACTTGTGGACTGAAAGTTTATTACTTGCCTGTAAAAGTATTTTATGCTCAATGTGTCCTGCCAACTATGATTTGCAATATAGCACTGATAAGATACATATTGATAAGAGAAAGAGTTGAGATTGTACATGGACATTCTGCATTCAGTGTTTTGTGTCATGAGGTGTCAATTATAGGTAAACTAATGGGTTTAAAAACAGTGTTTACTGATCACAGTCTATTTGGATTTGCTGACACTTCAGCAGTCTTAACGAATAAGTATCTTCAGATGTGTTTATGCGAATGTGACCATTGTATCTGTGTGTCACACACAGGGAAAGAAAATACTGTACTCAGGGCAAAAGTGAAAGCATACAAAGTTTCTGTTATACCCAATGCTGTTGATGCCTACAGCTTTACTCCAGACCCGAGCAAAAGAGATCCTAATGTGATAACAATAGTTATTGTATCCCGCCTTGTATATAGGAAAGGTGTTGATTTAATGGCTGCTGTCATAGCTGACATGTGCCCTAGATATCCAAGAGTAAGGTTTATAGTTGGAGGAGATGGTCCTAAAATGTGGCTCTTGCAAGAAGTGAGGGAACAAAAAGGTTTCCAGCATTGTGTGACCCTTTTGGGAAGTCTCAAACATTCAGAAGTTAGAGATGTGTTAGTGAAAGGGGATATATTTTTGAATACATCTCTTACTGAAGCTTACTGCATGGCTATAGTGGAAGCAGCTTCTTGTGGGTTAAAAGTAGTTTCAACTAAAGTTGGTGGTATACCTGAAGTGTTGCCAGACAGTATGATTTATCTTACAGAACCAAATGTTGGCAGTCTAGTGGAAGCAATTGAAAAGGCTATGGAAGACATAGACAAAGGCAATATATTATGCCCCTTTGAATGCAATATGAGAATAAGGAAAATGTACAATTGGATGGATGTAACAAAGAGGACAGAAATAGTATACAACAATATATCCTTGAATAAAAATAATCCTCTAGGTTTACAGCTACGAAACTACCTCACATGTGGTGTTTGGCCATTTCTGTTAGTTATAAGTCTTATGTATTTATTATTAAAATTGACAGAGAAAATATATAAAAAGAAGCATATTGATATTGCTAGGGATTATAAGTTATAGTAGCAAATATAAGCCATGAAAGTAGGCAATCTACCTATATAAATTTATTAAAAATATCCCAGTAATGGTTGTTATGACACACTGTTGCCTTGATTATAAGTAAGGAGTCACAAATATTATTACTAAATAATTAATATAAATTATAATAAGTAGGTAAATGTACCAAAGAAATGAACAATAATTTATTTTGGAATGATATTTATTAACATTATAATGAAAAAAAAAAACATTGGCTTAACTAGTCTCTAATAATAGTCCGCCATTATGATTTATACAATATACTATAAAATGAATAAATAACATCTGTTATTGTTATTATTATTACATTCCAGTATTATTATTCAACATCATTGGAATAACTTTTTTTCTAATTTATTATTATTTTAATAAGTGTGATTTTTATATACGAGACTGATGATTAGGTATAATTTTTTTGTAATATGTAACTCGTACATCTTCTCTGGAAATTCAAGCTCTGTGAACAAGAACAAAAGAATTAATATCTAATTATATTTATTTCCTGACAAAATATTTTTAGTTTTTTTAAATTAGTATATTTTGTAGTGAAGTTAGTTCAGAACACAACAAGAAGAAACCTTCTTCCTATATTATATGGCGAAATATTTTCGCTCAAGTATTTAGTTAACCCAAAATCTTACTTTAGATCCATTTGGCATACAGACAGAGAGAGGCATTTCTCCTGGAATGTTGTGTTTCGAAAATACAATAAATATAACAACATAATTTTTTTTTTTTTTATGGAATAGGTGGCAAACGAGCAGACGGATCACCTGATGGAAAGCGATCGGCGCCGCCCATGGACATCCGCAACACCAGAGGAGTCACAGGTGCGTTGCCGGCCTTTTAAGAAGGAATATGCTCGTTTCTTGAAGGTTTGAAGGTCGTATCGGTTCGGAAATACCGCCGCCGGAAGATCATTCCAAAGTTTTGCTGTGCGGGGCAGAAAGTTTCGGGTGAAACGCACAGTTGTTGACTGCCAACCATCTATGTGATGGGGATGAAAAACTTTTCGCGTGGAACGATGGCGAAAAGATGCGGCGGGGATCAAACCAAACAATTCCTCAGAACACTCCCCGTGATAGATGCGATAGAGAATACATAGCGAGGCTACATCCCTACGCAGTGCCAAAGAGTCCAGCCGGTCCGAGACAACAGGGCAGTCGACAATTCGGACAGCTCGTCGTTGAATGCGGTCTAGAGGGAGAAGCTGGTACTGGGGTGCCCCCGCCCAAAGATGAGAACAGTATTCCATATGGGGCCGAACTTGCGCCTTGTAAAGTAGCAGGCGATGCTCCGGGGTGAAATAATGCCTCGATCTATTGAGCACACCAAGCTTCTTCGAGGCTAACTTGGCCTTACCCTCTAGATGACCGCGAAACTGGACTTCGCTCGATATGTCGACGCCAAGTATCCCAATACCGGCCGAGGCTGTGAGGGGGGTGCTCTGAAATTGAGGGGATACGACCAACGGCAATTTTTTAGCTGTAAACACGCAGACCTGTGTCTTTGCAGGGTTAAATTGGACCAAGTTAAGTCTACCCCAATCTGAGATTCTATCTAAAGAAGTCTCGATTTCAGACACAAGCCTGTTTCGACTCTCGATGACATTTTCCCGAGAAATGTTATTACGGCCGGCGTAAAAGGCATCACCCGTGCTGTCATCCGCATAACAATGAATGCCACTAATTTGCAACATATCATTGATATGGAGGAGGAACAGAGTGGGCGATAGTACGCAGCCTTGCATATATACATAATTACAATTTCCAACTAAACTGACCCAATATAACATGTCTTGGTTGACACATGAAGTTTTGTTTTAAATGCTCAGGAAATTGGGTAGTTTCCTAGGTCTAAAATAAATTAATTCGACATTTCAATACAATAAAATATTGAAAAATAACAATTTTTACTCATCAATCAATCATAACGCCAGGTTTTAGATATTTTTTAGCTAATTATTAAGAAACAGGTAAGCTTTTTGACGCAAAAATAGTATGACGTCATAACTCAGTTTTTATAGAAAAGTATCGTTTTTGACATTTAGATAAAAGTATTGAATTTGACAAGTTGGAAACTACCGTATTATATACTTACACTTTAGTAGTACGTGGTGGGTGCTTAGGTCTCACTCCCGACTGTTTCAATTGCAGTACAATAGACCTGAGACGCGCCACATCGCGGCCACGTCTTGGTCCGAAGTCGCAGAGCTCAGCTACGCGCTCCCATTCGTTACCATCTTCCACGGTACCCTCAGAGCCGCGTGCTAAAGCTTTCTCGGCATTCCTATTTAATTAAAACAATTTTAAAATAAAAATCTGAATGCTGCCTTATTCAACCCCATCTGTGAAAAGGTTAAATATGATAATGTCTAATATGTCTATGTAATAATGATGCAATTTGATCCATAGTTATAACAATAGTTAAATTGGTTTCCAAATAGGATTCTTGAGGGTGATAGTTGATACATAACTTATTTAAATAAACAAATAATAACATCACATGACCCTCTTTTAGTACCAGCACCTATTCATGACATTTGGACAATATGAAATGCTAAACATTACAAATAAAGTATGAATCAAATGAATAAATGTAAACAATTTATACACTTTCAACCTGAAACCTTCACCAACCAGTTTAGTGCCTGTTTTAGTGTAAAATATCAATTTCAGATATACTTACTTAGCAGACTCCCTGATAGCATTGAAAAGAAAAGAGTCCAATTAGTTTGGTTTTATTTAGTCAATACATAAGAGTTGCTCAGTTATAGTACTTTGTGTTCCCTTTGAAAAAAATGCTATTTATTTGCCTATTTGAATTTAGTATATAAATAATATTAGTTAAATAAAAATTTTAATCACCTAAGTATCCTCCAACTCATTTACCAACCCCTAAAAAAGCTTAATTCCAACCAACTGTCCAGAAACTATACCCCTAACTGATTTCAAAGCTTGATAACAAACCCCATTTTAATAAAAATCAAAGCATATGAACACAATACATATTTTAGCAGAGGAAAGTTGCAAGCATTGGACCCAAAGGTGAAATGAGGTTGCAATAATTTCATACTAATAAAGAATAATATATAATAGAAGTTCCAGCACTACTTGAAACAATTAGACAGCATTTTGACCCATCATACTCAACCCTGCTCTAGCTCCACATAAACTAAGTAAATTACTGGCACTAACAACATAATATAAATCCAATTAGAAATTATAAATAATTATATACCTATTAGCTGCCTTTGTTTTGGCAATTTGCTCCTCATGTGTCTTGTACCAGTCCTCCAACTCCTTTTTGGCTATTTTCAGCATTTCCTCCTTTTTCTTTTCTTCTTCAGCATCTGAAATTAAATGATTATTTATACTCTTGTCAAAGTATTTGCTACATCCTGGTGACCTAGTTTTACAAATAGAGTGGTTATGTAATCCCATCCCCTTTATTTTTTATATTCTTTTTACTTGTATTAGTATTGTTTTAACTGTATACCTCTATCTTACTGTTCAAAAGTATGTCCACTTATGCTTTCATAGCACACAGTAATACCAGTCATTAATAGTACTCAAACAATTACTGCTAAAATACTATGGATATGGTGTGAAAACTGTGATGTAAGGAGACAAGACTTAATGCCTGGCAATACCATGATGGAATTATAATGCATGAAGATTACACAAGTTTAATCAACTATACCTTTCTCTTCCAATCTCTTTTTTTGTTCCTCACGCCAAGCACGGATCTTCTCAGGTTCTTCTCTTTCCTGTTTGAATACTGATGTCTGGATGGGTTCTTCATCTAAAAGGCCGTTTGAATCGAAGGCTGAGGCACTAGGTACTTCTGTAAAGGCATATTTTATTTGGTAAGTGTGGATTCCAATAAGAATCATGACTGTTACAATATGAATTGATAAAATATTGGTGAACAATTAAGATACAAAGAAGCATAAACATAGTTTTTCAGTTCCGACGGTTATTGACTGCTAGATAAGAAAACAGTCATCAGTTTGTCATTGTTAAAAATATTGATTTTCAAAGTTTCGCTGTGACTATTGACTTTTATCGGTGTAATGTAGTTAGGAACACAATAATGTGTGTAACTTACCCACAAAGTCATCCAAGCCGTTTGAGGAAGATACAATGGGGGGCGGAGCGCTGGTTTCCAACTCATCTTCGAGTCCTGCTAGCTGGTTCTGTTCACGAGCAAGGAACTCCGCTGCTGGGTCGACTTCAGGTTGAACGAAGTTGTCTCCGAAATCATCCATTATTATAAGATTTACGGTACACTAAATAAAATAACAAATCAAGAAAAGAGAGTTCCTGTTAATTACGAAGCACAGACAAGACAAAGCAGAGTGAAGTATAATCTTAACTTATTGACACGGTGACAACTCATTCTGATTATTTTGTCAAATTCTTATTTTGATATTTATTGTAACTACAGAAGGTCTAAATTTAAATATCCTCTAAGTGACGTTTAGGCTTTCGTTTATTTTCATCTGGCATTATTAAACATTGTCTATAGTTCTAAAATGTTTATCTGTTCTGTGTCTGTCAAAATTGATGTAACTGTCAATGTCATTGTCAAATACATAACCTCACTTTTTTAAGTTTTAAAATTTAACATCTGAATCAGAAATTCAGAATTATTATTTTGTAAAAACAAAAACATTACTAAAAATGAGTCTGTGTTTAAGATCGAAGTATTTACGACCAAACTTAATAGGTTCTTTATTCCGATATTCGACTTCGCAAGTGGAAGCAATTGAACAAAATGATCAAGTTTTAGTGGAAGATGAAGATGCATTAGCAAGAGAAGCTGAGATAGAACGAAAAAGAAACGTATCTAGATTAACAGAGGCACATTGGAATCTTGTTAACGGTCGAAGACCTTATGTAGAGCCGAAGAATTGGTCTCACTTGACGGTTAAATATAATAGGAAATTGTATGGAAAATATGGCAGTGCAAGTGGTGTTAACCCAAGTAAATATCCTTATTAACAAAATAGAAAGTCATTTAATTTCAAAATGTTCTGTAGGAGTTGGTTTCACGGTTGCTACGCTATTATAGTTCATGGTTAACTTTCATGAAATTTCTTTCTTACAATGACTATTACTGTATATATATTTAAAAGCGAGATCAACAAGAACTCGATGCATATAATTAACTGACACAGCTTGGTAGTTAATTCCACTATAAAGGGTTTGTAACTGTAAGTTGAAGGAAAAGGGGATTATAGTCATCAAAACTAATCAACTTAATCTTACTTCTCCCAGGTCTTTGTTTTCCAACACGAAATGAAATACAAGAGAAAATGGAGTATGAAGCTATAGCATATCCAATTACTATAAAACAAATGATGGAAACTGCAGCAAAGAACAGGAAGGAACAGGAAGAAAGAATTCAACAAAGAGACAGGGATGTTGCCGCTAAATATGCCAAGCTGGACCAGTGGAAGAAGGATCTCCTTGATAAGATAGCCAAGAAAACTGCTGAAGTCAATGCAGCTAAAGTAAGTTGGGAATTATCTCAGTATCATTCAATCAATTAAAGAATTGTATGTAAGAACAATGCATTCAATTTTTTATGGTGCTACAGTTGTCCTTGGGTGGCACTGATTGGATACCATCAGGAAATATGGCTACTTCTTAATTTTCTTTTTAATTATAAAACAATGACTAAAGGAACTGAAATGCTGAAGAAACATTTTCATAATCTGTTGTTCATTGTTAAAATATCTAACTTCTTGAAATATCCAATGGTATCTGAATGTTAAATATGTACTCAAAATGTGACTATCATTAATGCAATAAAAATAATCATCAAATATCATTAAAAAAACAGATAACGTTTATATCAAAGTTAATAAATATCATATTTTAGTTAAAAAAACATCTTTCATAAATTGCCCTGTTCATGAAATTAAAAACACCTACATAAAAATTCGTCTTCTCTCTTTTCAGGAAAAGAAAGAGAGATTAGTAGAAGAAGTCAGAAGACACTTTGGTTTCAAGCTAGATCCTCGTGATGAGAGGTTCCAGGAGATGCTGGCTAAACGGGAGAAGGAACAGAAGAAGCTGGAGAAGCAAGCCAGAAAAGAAGCTAAAGAAAAAGTCATGTTGGCCAAACTACAGCAGAAGAATGTAGAGATAAGTGATTTGAAGAAGTAAACTATTTTAAATTGTAGAGTAATTAATTGTTAGAGTTAATAAACTGTTAATATAATATCCTACATTAGTTTTCTTTTTTTCCTTTATTATTTTTTCTAATGGATTTTGTTTGTTTCATATGCTGAAAAAATAGGATTATTTATGTCCTTAGCCAACAACAATTAATTTATTACTTTTTAATCATTTAAATGTCATCTTATTAACCTGATTCCCACTTCTGTACACAGGATCTTCTATAGTAATTCAAAGTCTATTTTTCATCTATTTTTATTTTTATATAAAAAAAATGCCCCACACTAGATTTTCCCCTGTATTGTTTGTGCATTAACAAACATTAATTTCACATACAAATCACACCCAGACCCCGAACAATAATTTGTAAATCACACAATGAGTTCGATCGAGAATCAAACCCAGGACGCGATGCACGGCAGCTGGTTGCCCAGCCATTGCGTCTGCCGTGCAGTCAAAAATTGCCAATGTTGTCTTGGTATGAGAATGAACAGTTCAATTAAATGTATTTGTTACTAGCTTCTGCCCGCGGCTTGGTTCGCATGTTGATAAACTATGTTGATAAATAAGGCTGTGTTAATATCCAGGGAAGGTGTTAATATCCACAGAACAGGTAAAGAAGTATCTGTTCTGTGGTATCACCTATCTACGTACCAAATTTCAACGAAATCGGTACAGCCGTTTTTTGTGACAGATTAACAAACATTATATACATCTATTCATTTTCACATTTATAATACTGGTAGAAATATAAGTAGGATTTTTGGGCGACACCTCGGCTCGATACCAGACACCGCGCAAAACACATTAATTTATACTCATTATGATTTATAGTATTTTATGTAGTAAGTATATTTATAAGTTGCCTAATGCAAATAAATAAAGACTTGAATATGACAACCAATTTTTTAATCGTACATAAAACATGATATTCATAAATTCATAAATAAACATAAAAAACGTCAGGAGCTGTCCTCGGACGAGGACGAATAGAGTGCCTCCCGCGGGTTGATGACGGTCGCCGGATGTACGGAGCGTTGTGTTATCTGTGGCGAACAAATCAGCGTGTCCGAGTCGCTTGCCACGCTACTGCAGGGGCTACTCTGCCTGTATGTGTGCTGGGGACAAAATAAACTTAAATGTAATGCATGTATATTAAATACCGTTAGGCTAAATATAAAGGCCCTTCTATGACGCCTTTTGGGACTAACCTTAGGCTAATTAATGTACCAGCAGCTACGAATACCTAGCCTTATTATTAAGCTTTAGATAAAAACATCTTCTTTTCTGTGTACTTTTTTGAAGTCAATACAAATCCATTCTTACAGCTAGGTAGGTACTATTATTATATTACGGCAGCAGATGTTTCGAGAATTTTTAAGATTAGGTACAAGCAACCCACTTACTTTTTTATTAGGCTTCGTTTGCACCGAAATCATGTCCTCCAACGTATTCGATTCCTCGCAGTGTGCGTTTCTTGTGTCGCCTATTTGTCTTTCAATCATTTCTGGTTTCTGTGAATAAAATGCATGTTTTCGTCAATTCGCAATTCTGTACAGTTTATATTTCAAAGGTTCGTAGAGTGAGAGAGTAGATGTGTACTGTGTAATGAGGCCTGCTACAACCCCCTAAAAAGAAGCCAGGATACGCAGTAGATACAACTATGAAACTTAGGTGTGGCAATAACGCCTGAACGTACGCATATTTATTCCGCAATCTACGGACAATAAACTACACCTGATAAAACATTTTCCGATAAGGACAACTAACTCATAAAATTAAAACTCCCCCCGTCCATTCTGCTCTAGGCCGAGGCCGCGGTAGTCATTGCGCTTACCCCGCAACCCCAGCTGAACATCAGCCCCGTCTGTGGTGGTCTATTGGCTCTTTGAGGCGCGCGCCGCGTGCTCGGATCTGATTCCAGTTGGGCGGCGAGCTATTTATTTTTTAAGAAGGAAAACGTTGCCCCCCACTTGTATTTTCTTCTGTGTCCTGGGTGCGTTTACAAACATACAATTTCCCATGCACATCACAACCAGACCCGAAACAACAATTTGTGGATCACACAAAGAGTTGTTCCGTGTGGGAATTGAAACCGCGACACGTGGCTCGGCAGCCTTGCCTTGCAGTGGCTCATCCATCGTGCCAACCGTGCAATCAGTACCAAAGTTAGCTAGCAACCTTTACCACAGATTACTGAATAGTTACTCCGTAACCTTTACTCGCCGTCCGCACACCCGTGCTTAGCGTGGTCGGAGATCATACAACTACATCTAGTTGAGCTGATTCTTTTACCAACCTATATTGCCATTTCGAGTGGCCATTCTTTCCCCTTGTTCATTCATTTAACTTTATCCTGTGCAAAATATACATACCATTTCACCGGCGTCCCTTCGCTGCGAGTCTCCCAATAGATGTGCAGACTTAGTCATCTTGTTGACCTTCATTTTATCGTTGGCTATCTTCTGGTGTGAGCTCTGCGCTCTCTTGGGAATTATGTTTAAGTGTCTGTCGCTATATTGTGTCTCTTCAACTTCCACGATTTCCTCTGTTGGCTCTTCCTCCGGTATATTCTGTTTCGACGTTTCATGAAGACATTGTCTGCGAAATGTCATAGAAATAAAATATTTATGTTATTATTGGAGCTTTAGACTTCAAAGCTCGAGCAAGACTAACGGGGAACTATCGCGGTAAGGGACATTCAATGTAAGTGTAGCTGCGATAATTCGACAGCGCCTGACATTGCTGAATGTGAATAGCTCAAGTAGTGGTATATCAAAGAGCTACACTACGTTAGTGTCAGTGTGCATCTTGCTAAGATCATTTAGATTCAAATATATGTAATTAACTGTAGGAAGTTAAAAGTATCGAAACAAATATCGCGTTTTCACATAGACATTAACCGGTAGTGTGGTCTCACATTAACAACTCTTCTTCAACAGCGATGGTATCAGGCTAGCTTTCACACGTAGATATTTACGTGGTTAGAAATAGATATGAAACCACACAATACATGTCTGTATGAGCTGAGCTGAGGCTTTCTACAGAACTTTAACTAAGGGTGTAAACTCAAGTAATAAAGAAGTAGTCATAAAACACACGCAAATGAGCGGGATGACACTAGAACTAACCCGTTAGGCACTAACCCGTAGCACTGATTATTCTTTATGAACGCATATATATCCTTGAATGCCTGCTGTATGTAGGAGAGTGTGGTCTGGTCTATAGGCACAGAACTGGACGACCCTGAGCTGCTTGACAAGTCTCCTGATCTGGCACTGGCTTCGAATGAATGTTCTGAACCTGATAAAAGGAGAAAATAGGAAAATCGTCAAGACCTCATTTTCTATGTTCGTTATAGCCATTAGGTAGATGTTCCATTCTTTGAAAAGGACACTTAAATGCAGTGATAATAAAGTGAGCAGGTCGACTACCTGATGGCAAGGAATCATCGCCGCCCATGGACACCCTTAGAGGAGTTACCGAGTGCATTGCCGACCTTTTGGGGATTTAGGGATGGGCCTTCGGTAACCTCACTCAGACGGCGAATCACAACGCTTTTATTGTACGCGGTTGTTTCACGCCAGTTTTCTGTGACGCCGTAGTATCACTTTGGGCAAGCAGACCCATACGACATGGCTCTCCCACACTTAAGAGGCATCAATCAAGGCACATGACCAAAATTTCGTTTCACTTTCAAACTTGTCCATTCTTTCTTCGTCGTTTGACTTACCTGACGACGCCGCACAATTGGCCCACAGCCGTATTTGCTGTTGTTTGAGCTCCTTCATTTGGTCTACTAACTGTAAGTTCAGCTCTTCAAGCTGCTGTCTATGAGAAATCTCTTCCTGCAGCTGTTCTTCTAATACTTCGGCGTAGTCCCTATAGATCAAAGGATAATGTGACAAATATTCACATCAGGTAACGTTTTTGTAGATGCCTCTGCCAACAAAAATGTTAGGTATTCCGATTTTTAACAGTCCTTGTGAGGATTTTGGACGCCTCTAAGTGCGTTGTGTGTCTTCAGTACCTAACAGAGTTTTCTACATATTCATATATAGAACCGAAATATCACTATTCACTTACTTGTCTTTTTTCGTTAGGTTGGTCTTCGTTGTATACTTAACGGCCGTAGGTCTCACGTTCGATCCCGGCGCGCGATCTCGAGATACTCCATTTCTGTAAATAGACAAGTAAGCATATTAATGTATTTTAGAAGCCCGTTTTCGTACATAGGTCTCTTACTCATCACTCAAATAACTCAGTCTAGCTTATCGCATCCAATCAAAAATGTATTTTAACTACGTTAAAGTTTATTACAGTGTAATTAAATCATACTCACCTGGATGTCACGGATTTCATGAACTTTTCACTAGAAGATCCACTGCTAGCAAGCCACGAAAACTGTTAAAATAAAGAACTATTACCACTGCCAAAATTCGGTCAAGCATCAAGGGGTAAATAACATCAAGCCGATGTGTCTACAATGTTTTAGGTCGTACCTTCCCTTCCATCCCCCTTTCGTTTTCCCTGAGCAGCGAGCGAACTTTGGAAAGTGATTCACTGGTCACATCTGGATTGTTCCTTATATCTAATACTACAAGAGTCTTGTTTGACGACATCATCTGTTGGATAGCGGCCGATGTATTCTCCGTTATACCGCACATTTGAACGTCCAACGCTGAAATATTGAGACAGAAGATCAACATCAACCGAAAAATGACCTAGACGGCTAGTAGGCAAAACAAAGGCTTTTTGCTTAGCCCGCCAATGGACAACCACATTCCCAGAGAAGTCGCGAGTTGCGTTTCGGAGATGAAGGGAATGGGGAGGGCAAGAAGGGTTAGGCCTCTGGTAACCTCAATTACACGGCAAATAGTGGTGGTCGTTTCAAGTCGGTTTTCTGTCGAGAATAACCAATTGGTGCCGAAGCATGGCTCACTCACACTGATTATAAGTCTAACAAATAATATGCAATCATCTACCTAAGGAACATAGAGGAAGTTTGCCCTGTTATATGTATAAATATTGTATAGCAAGACAGGTTCCTATTAACTTTATCCCATACCTTTAATCCACAAATCATCCGAAAGGACGTCGAGTAATTTGCAAACTCCAATATCTCCTAGTTGAGGGTTGGCACACAATGTGATTCTCCGTAAACCTGCCATCGCGTCTAGTTCAGGCAGTCGGTACCGAAGTGTATGTGTCCAGTTCTCACTGTATCTGTGGATCTTTTGGTACTGGAATTGACGAAAAATAATTAAGGTTATCTACTAATAAAAAAATTATTATTAAAAAAACAAAATACCCGACTGCACACTAAAAAAAGAGTAAAACAAGCCCCACAATACAAATTTACTGAATATAATTTATAAATGTTGATGGAAAGCATCGCAGGTGGGGACCAACAGAGGCTTATTTATAGTCATTTCTGTTGTGCACCATTTAGCAGAATTTTCGTTGGTGGCGGTCAAGGTGGTCCCCGCCTGCGATGCTTTCCATCAACATTTATAAATTATATTCAGTAAATTTGTATTGTGGGGCTTGTTTTACTCTTTTTTTAGTGTGCAGTCGGGTATTTTGTTTTTTTAATAATAATTTTTTTATTTATAACTTTTTCCCGTGGGAATTTTGAGAAAAAACGTATCCTATATTAATTACTCCCGTGATTGAAATGAATCTAATGATACCGCATACATATTTTTTTAAAGGGAAATTTAGAAAAAATATTATTATGTCCTTATCCCGTGGGACTTTTAGGATAAAATGTATCCTATGACACTCCCGTAATCAAGACAAATCTAACGATACCTCATACATCAAAATCCATCAAGCCGTTTAGGCTACAGGAGGTCACAAAGGAAAAGACATACATACATACTTACATACACTCGAAAAACATTATCCTCCTTCTTTGGCAGTCGGGTAAAAAAAAGCTAATATTAAAATTACACTTAATTTCATTTTCATGGGCCAAGAGCAGGTAGGTAGGTACGAGTTCATACTATCAACATACACTGGATAGTTTTGAGATTGCTTTGATTGAGAGAGCTCGACTTGATGTAAGTCATTTGGATCATTCTGTTAGCAGGTTGACTCGTGACCATGTATAGAAGTGCAAAAATTCAAGTAACTCTAAGATATTTAGATTTTTTAGAGTTCACAACAAACCTTAACTAAATCCGCGATATATCCAGCTCCTAAAGGCGTCAGATCGCATCCTGACAGATCCAGAGTCAGAATGTTAGGTAGACACTTAATAGATTTACAGATAGCCAAGCAGCCGGCGTCCCCAATGAGACATCGTGGCAAGTGTAGATGTTGTAAAGAACTATTTGTTAATAGAGCCTAAAAATGTAAAAGGAACTTCATGTATCACAATGAGTAAGAGAAAAAGTATTTAAAATCAATCCCCGTACCTAAGTCTCTTAGGGCTGATTTTTCAATCATTACATAAAAGTTACCTGGGGAATAATTACGAGTATGATGCTGTCGCGTCAGAAAGTTTGTATAAGACAATGACAGCAACAATTTTAATTCCTCAGATTAATCTCATTATTGAAAAATCAGCCCTTAGTAGATATTAATGTAGTCAACAAGTACCACTTCGGAGCTACCTTGGTGCTATGAAAGCTTGTAGTATTCTTATCGAAACCTGAATTGACGCGATCAACATTAGTATTATTTATCACACCCATTTTTGGAGATCCTTGTATAATTCTGTATGTATCTAGATGTAGGTAGACTAACTACAATTTAGTCGAGATATGGTCAGATTCTAAAGAAAGCAGAGTTAACAGATAGGTATTGATTCTTTCTACATAGAAACAAAGTAAATCTTACCTCACACAAGGGATTTAAATATGGTATCTTCAGCGGTAGTCCTTCTAATAGTAAGGTCGTCAACAGTGTGGTATTAGAAAGTAGTTGTGCTGTCGCCTCCACTAAATTACTGAGCATGAAGTTTGTAAGTATCACACTTCGTTTGTTCACCGTCTTTGCTAGTCTTTCGCAGTCTATGTGCTCTAATACTGTGTTGGCAAATAATTTGATTGAAAGAAGCACAGCAATTAGGTACTAGGTAGTAGGTACTTACCTACCTTGCTGACTGTAGGGAAAGACGCATTGCAGTGATGCGTTTAGTTAGTTTAGTTTGCTTTAGATTAGAATAGACAGAATAATAGGGAAAATTTGGACCATGCTAGATACGAACTAATAAAATATAAGTGCGTGATTGAAGTTTTGATCATGTTTTGCGATAGCTAAACTTTATTATTAACTGATCCATTGAAATTATATGAGAATTTCTAATCCTCAAGACAATTTCTATCGTGCATAGTAAATTACTTACTACCTACCTAATTATCTTTAATCACTAGTTGCATGTTATTGTTATTTAAACTTTGTATGACTTTTTCGTTCGATTGAAGTTCGTTACATGATTTCGTTGTGATGGACAAAGTCCAGCTGTAGTTCAAAGATTATTCTAGGCACCTCCTACTTATGATTAATGTCTATAAATAAGTTTAGCAAGGTTATCAATCCGTTAACCCTTTGATAGTTAGTCGGAAAGTACCTACTTATTAATCAATTCAAGTTGGTAACGCTTTTCAGATTTTTCACTCAAGATAGGGCTTTATATTGATAATGAAATCTACTCCGTATTATTTTGCGAATATAAATAATAAGACTATTTAATAAGTAAACACTTGTCAATAAAGTTACTAAAGCTATACGAAATTACCAGTCGGTTTATCAGATTTGTATCAACATTACCCGTTTTGACTTGCTGTCGACACTTCATTGAAACAGAATGCAGGCTCAAATCACAACTGAGTGCATTTAAAATAGGTGGCCAGTCCGCATATTTTATTCTATCCACGCAGAAATCCAAAACCTTGCCATTGCCAGAAGGTATGACATTGGTCAAAGGAGTAAGGTTCTGTAACTTGCAACACTTGACGTAACATTGGTGAAATATTCTGCTACTTTTCGGCTCACTCCCTTTGCCGACCATATTCAAAAAACTAGTAAAAAAAACATTCAAAGCACAAATAATACCGTGCAATACGGCGCGGTTCTTTGCTCGTAATATCGTTAAAATTTATCTGTTAAATAAATATGGTTTTTGATGAATAATTGCTCAAAAATATAAGTAAGAAGACAGTTTGAAAATAGAACATCGTATCGTGACATTGACGTATGTTTATTTTTTTTATGTCGCCTAATTTTGTTGCGACCGGTATCTCTAAATATCATTATAGCTGCGTTTTGTGGCATCGAAAGAGGAACTGCAAACATAGCCCTTGCGATTGCTTACTGTAGAAATATGAACGCAGATTTTGATATTGTACTGAAAAAAGAAGGTGCAATACCGCCAACGTATCTTGGCGAGTCTGAAGTTAGCCGATTAGCGGCGCAGTACACAATTCTGTTCCTAAAAGATCCATTGCGCAGACAAACGGCTAACTTCAGACTCGCCAAGATACGTCGGCCGCACTGTAAGTAGGTACCTATAGCTGTGTGACTCAAGCCTTAATGAATATATCTGCTGCGTCGCTGGTAATATTAAGGAAATTTTGTTTATGTTATGGCAGTGAATAGTAGGAACAAACAAAAACAATTATTTTTAAAATAAAATTTTATTAAAAATATTTGTGACAGTCGTTTACAAACTTCCACTGACAACACAGTCATCAAGGACTAGATATCTGATTTTTATCATTTGGATTATTAATACTATTGGCAAATCGAGTAAAATATTAAATAAAAATACATATTTGACTTGCACAAGCGATCGTAAAAGGCCTAAGTGACATTGCTATTATAGAAAAGCAATATTTATTACAAGGATATAAGATTCCTTTTTTATTTATCGTATCAATGAATATGTGTGGTTGGAAAAATGAAATATAAGAGATATGAATAGATAAATACATGAGATCGTTTGTGAGAGTCAAAACGAATCAGATATTTAATCAATGACGAGTCCACTTAGTAACATCAAATCGATATATTTACATATAAAATCTACTTACTAGACGATAACGTATGTATAATAACAATCAATACTTATTAAACTCGTCTTTTTTATCAGGATAAACAAATTCAGATGCAGTTTAAATATTCCTTTTAATAAATGGCGCTAATGAGCAAAAATGCTACCAAAATAGCTGCGAATCGACGGTTTTTTGTTCGGGACTTATTAAATTAGGTAGATTTTTGATATATCAAATATCCAGAGCTATGTCCGTTTAATTCCGTTAAGTTTATTATTAAAATCAACCGCATACGAATAGAATCCCTGATACGAAAGATAATTAATGTTAATTAAGGTAACACATGGTAACATTGTTAAGGCACTTACATAAGACTAACTGCCGTACTCGGAGACATTTAATGATTACTTAAACTATTCCTTAGTAGCGATTTTGTTTTGTAAACAATTGCTAAGGAAAGGTTACGTAGAAGTAACCTTTTAATGTAGAGTGGGGCGGTTATTAACGAAAGTCTAATACTAAACTCAAAAAGTATCCTTTATTTTTTCAGGTCATAAACTGTTATACAGAGAGCGTAAAAGTTTAGTGTGTAAAGGCCTTACTCCAAAAGTTATCGGCTAATAACAAATTAATATTTAAATTAATTAATCTAAATCTTAAAAGAAGATAATAACTTTCAATAATATTGATATCACATTAGAGTTTCAAACGATGTGATGAATTGAAAATTATATATGAATTTATTACTAGTTAGGACAATATTGTTTCAAGTAAAATTGTTTTGAAAAATATCGTTTTACATTGATTAATTCCTTTTCCTATTAACAGATGGCGTTAAATCAAGAAGGGTGTAGGTTTCTTAACTCATTTCTCAGTTCACCACATCAAAAAGTATTGTAAAAAATAAATTAAAACAAGTCTACACTGCCACCGATAATGCGATACATAATTAACATATTTTTATAGCCATACAATTATGTTTTTTTTTTGTTAATTTGGTCCTACCAAATTACGTAATTCCAGAATTTTATAATAATGTTATAAACAGAGCTTCATAATTACACTGAAAAATAAAAATTTTGCTAACAAAGGAAATAAAAAAAGCCTAGAGTAATAGATAATAATAAATTCCCAGTCCATAATATGAAATCAAATTTAAATTTTACAACTCCAGAAAATTTTTAATTTTTGGTCAACTTTCTTTTCATATTTCAGGTACCACTCGCGCGACCCAAACTAAAAATAAAAGGCACACGACATTTTATCAAACGTTTTGACTGTCAAACAAAACTCAACCTTTAGTTATAGGAAAATAGTCGAAAATAGTATGAACAGAATGTCAGAAATCAAACTGTTTAATATATTACGTACGCCCTTATTTTTGTGAGTCTTTTAAAAGTTTTAACTAGTAACAGTGACCAGTAGATCAACCTACTATCCGTCAAAATTCCTTAGTAGATTTAGAACTTTATCACTTTGATTTGTATCAAAGTGATAAAGTCGAAAATATAATGACATAAATTGAAAAATACGGTTGATTTTCTGGCGACTGTACTTTAAATAATTAGGAAATATTGTATGACCATTTTATTTCAAAAAATTCTGTTAAATTAATTGTTGAAGTAATACCTAGAATATAGTAAACTCCTATTAAATACATATGTACACAATTGTGTTAGATTTTGTAGATTTTTTGCATTATAACGAGATCAGTACTTCATTCAGTACATAGCCAGGATGGACTTATGTTAACGTAGCCTCAGACGCAAGATTTTTGACGAATGTATCGTTAATTTTTAAATAAAAAAGCAAGAAGTAAAACTAAAAAATAAATAAGTACAAATAATCGCTGGAAAAGGTTTTAATGTGATTATATCAACTCTATGCGTAAAAAAAGTTCAACGTTCGATGTTTGAAAACGAATTGACAGAAACAACGGCCAACTTGCAACACATTGTCAAATATCTTGAAACTTGGTTGTTTTAGGTTATTTAAAGTTTTTCATCACTGGCTTTTTTGGTGCTATAGCATATAAAACGTGATCGTATAAAAACATAATTTTAATAGTTACAATTTTATAGATAATTCAACTTATTTTGTACTTTTTTATGACATTGAAAGAAAATAAAAACCACATCAAGGCATTTCGTCACAAGTAACTTGGCAGTAGGGTTCAAAATCGGTTGCTTTATCTATAAAATTATGTATTAGGTGGTAAAGTCCTGTTAAGTACTTAAGATCACAACACGCAGTATAACCATGATTGTATCTAATAACATTTATCTAATAGAGATAAACAGAAAGTTATATGCCCGATATTATTTCTTTATCGTATCGTGTTGTTATAAGAAAGAAAGTATCAAAACGATATAACCTCAACAGAATTTGTATTTTATACAAAAGATATTAAAGTCGAAATTCCGACATATTTTAGTAGCTTTAAAGTCAGCTGTTGCGATGTCAAATACGATCACGTTTCCTTAAGAAATTTCGAAATGAATAATATATTATGTATAAGATATGTGTTAAGTATATCTAAATTAGTTAGATTAATATTAACTGACCTTTTGACCTGTAGACACGCGTAGAGAATACAATTTTTAAGAGGATTATGGCGTAACTTCATTTATTGCATTTTGTTTTTTATAGATATTTATTACCTACTTAAAAGTTAGACAAAGATGAGGCTTACTTAGCTAGCTAAGTACTAGCAATATGAAAAAACAATGATTTTGATCACTTACACCCGGTTTCTGGAAGGCTTGTCAACGCTAAAATTCTCTCTCCGCTAAAATCTCCTGGTAAATCTCTTGTCTAGTCATCTGATTGGTTGTTGATAATTCAGGCAACCAATCAGATGACTTGACAAGAGATTAAATTGATTTTAACATTGATCTTCCTTTCAGAAATCGGGTGTGAGTTTGTTTAGTATCTAATTCTCCCTACTTCATCTGCTTTCGTATACAGAAATCTCAGCACTAATTTTAAATAATGTTCCAGACTAAATAAATCCCCCTATCAAGTATACGAATAAATTCCGAACCGAACATAAAGACGTTTGATTTCATTGAATAAATTTCCTAGAAGTACATCATACA